AGTTGTCGGTATTTTCTGAATTTGGCAGCTCAATCTATGACACTACAATTGTTGGAAAAATGTTCGTTAACCGCGCAGAAAGGTTGACGCGAGAATTGGGGAAAATTGCAGTTCTGGTCCACCAACTTAGGGTGTTACGTATTTTTATCTGTGGTCCAAAATTGGTCAAATAACTCTTTAGTTTTAGCAGATTTGGTTCGATTTCAATCCCCGAATGCAGTAATCCGAGAATTATTTGATCCGAAATTGATCTAATAACTCTAAAATTTGGAACAATTTCGCATCCCAATAAGTTATTGGGCAAAAATGGGAAACACTCTAAGGGTGTGTTTGTTAAAGCAATAATTTGAGTGAATTAACTCAAAGTGAATTTTTTTGAGTTAACTAGGGTTAATTTAGAAAAAGTAGTGTAGTTAGTTGTTAGTGGGATTTTGAGTTTATATTAAAATAATATTTAAAATAAAATAATTAAAATTTGTTTGATGTAAAAGTAGGAGAGAGATAATATGATGTGATGGTTAGTTAAAATTATGTGAGTGAATGAATAGTGAATTAAAGTTGATATGATGTGCAAAAAGTGATTGGTGTTATTATTTAATGATTGGTTGTTATGGTTGTTATTATTTAATGATTGATTGTTATGGTTGTTATTATTTAATGATTGATTGTTATTATTTAATTATATTGATAATATTGAGGATAGTAGGGTTGAGTTAAAGTTGAGTTGGATTTTGAGTAGAATTTATTTGGTTTGAGTGAATCCTTTTAACAAACACAGCCTAAGATAGTGGATTAAAACTGCAAACTTTCCTGAAAATTGAGGAGATGTGACTGTACTTTCTCAAACCTGGGATTTTGACAGCTCTATCTATGACTACAATCGTTGGAAAAATATTCGTTAACCGTGGAAAGGTTGACGTGAAAATTGGGGAAAATTGCAGTTTTGGTCCACCAACTTCGGGTGTTTCCCATTTTTTGTCCAGTAACTTAGTAACTTATTGGGCTCCGAAATTAGTCCAATAACTCCTTAATTTAGCTAATTTGGTCCAATTTCGATCCCGAACACAGTATTCCGGCAGCTATTTGGTACAAAATTGGTTCAGTAACTCTTAAATTTTAGAGTTATTATTGGACCAATTTAGACAATTTCGGACATCAATAAGTTACTGGGCAAAAATGAAAAACACTCTAAGTTAGTAGACAAAAATTGCAATTTTCCTTGAGGAGATCTGATTGTACTTTCCCACATGAATTGAAGAGTATCATGTTTTGTTTGAAAAGTACGACTGCGACACGAAGCAACTGTTTACGGTTGGGAACAAAATTCATGTTGTTTGAGGTTTGACAATGTTCTGTCTTGTTGGTTTTTGTAGCTTGGAACTGTGGTACTATTCGATTTTGGTCTTACTTGCTGGGTACGTGAAAAATGCCGAAACTGCCATATCCGCTTTCTCCATATGGTGAGCTTCTCACGAGTAAAATCGCTAGATATAAGTTTTCTCTGCACAAACACAATCAAGATTGATTTTTCACTGATCGAAAAATTTGAACATTTTTATTTTTTTTTATTTTTTTTTTCGTTTTTTGGGCAGCCTTAACTTCACTAGTTGGATAACCATGATCATTGTTGGCCTCATGGGCGCCGCATGGTAATGAATTCTCTCATGCACACAGCTTCGACGAAAAAAACAGAACAATAAAATGAAATTCTCCTCTTAATTCCATATTTTGTTCCGAAAAAAAAAAACGAAAAACAGCGTGCGGGTTGCGAACGAGCTGGGTAGAGGAGATGCAAAGGCCGTGAAATTCTCGATCAAAGTGCTTATGAGCACCTCAATTTCAATAGGGATATTTTTTTGGATCATTTGCTTGGTCTTCAGAGATAAACTCGGTTACTTATTCACCGACGACCGGCAAGTCGCGCAGGCCGTTTCAGATCTTTCTCTCCTGCTCGCCTTTACCGTGTTGCTCGCCAGCATTTTTCCAGTCCTCTCGGGTTAGTTTTTTTTTTTCTTTTTCTTTTTATTTTCCTTTGTTACATTTGATGTTAGTTATGATTCTTCGAGTTTAGTTCTGCTCGGCTCGTTTGAATCAAATGTGAGCTGATTTTTTATTATATTTATTTATTTATTTTATTTTTATTTATTTATTTATTTATTTTTATGTTTTAAGGTGTTGCTGTGGGAGCAGGTCTTCAGATAAAAGTGGCGGTAATTAATTTAGTTTGCTTTTATGGAGTTGGGCTGCCGGTTGGGATTGTGCTTGGATATGTTGCACATCTTCAAGTTGTGGTAAATTAATTCATTAGTAATAATTACTTTATTTAAAAAAAATAAAAATCATAAAGTTGTTACATTTTGCAAGTTAACAGGCAAAATGGCAAAACAAATTACATGGCCATTAGTAATTTAACAAAAATTTTGTGGAGCCATCGGATGGTTTTCTTATGGAGCCATCCACCACTTAATATATTGACATCTGTCTAAAATGTATTTATTGCAGGACACGTGTCCATACACTATTGGTGAATAAGTGTGGATAGCTCCATAAATCGAGCCATCCGATGACTCCATAGCAAACCTGTAGTAATTTAATCACAAATTTTCAATTTTGGCAATTCAAGCCATGACTTTTCATTTCTTTTTTTTTTTCCTCAAATTGAGCCATGAAAATTAGGTAAGTGGAAATTATGGCTTAAAAATGTGAAGATTAGGAAATTGTGTTTANAAAAAAACAAAAAAAAAAGATAGAGTAATTATTAATTAGTGGATATTTGGGTTGACAGGGAATATGGATTGGATTGACCTTTGGCATAGTGACACAGACGCTCTTACTGTTATTCCTAATATGGAGAACAAATTGGGATGAAGAGGTAAAATTTCCCAGCAAAATAGTTAAATTTAAAATATATTTTCCCTGCCTACAATACCTATGACATTTATGAGCCTATATAGATGATATCGTATTAAGTTTATATTTAATTTATTATTTATTTTAACAATTATCCTTGTTGTTGTTGTTATTATTATTATTATTATTAAAGTATATGTCTTCTTGGCAAGTTTAGTTCCATTATAAATATATCATACATGAATGTTGTTAAGTTGTTTATAAATAAGAATTCCTAATTTGGGTGATTCAGATTATCCAACGGTTAAGCGGGCCGACCAATTATATTTTTTAAACAAAAAGATAAGATATACTTATTTTGTGAAATGTCATAATTCTATAGTATGTCAATTATGTATAAATATATGCATATTTATAACAAAGTATGATTATCTAACGGTTAGAACTGTTTAAAAGCAATCCAATGATGTTTAATATTATCGGTTTTCATTATATTCATATTGAATCTGCATTAATTATCTTGAGTGTTCTTGTTATTGATATATTCTTCTTGTATCTATATATAACTGACCTTATTGATATTTTTTAGCATATTTGTTTGGGATGCTTTATATGTTTACAGGTCTTCAAAACTTCAGCGCGTCTGAAAAGATGGGATATGAAATCCTCAGCACAGAGTATTTCTAAGCACTAATCATGCTTGAAAACGGGACAAAATTTGACGTTGGTTAGTCGAGGATCAGAACCTCTGACGGAATACGAGTAATCGACTCGTTCGTGAACTTATCGTATCCAGAATCAATCTTGACTATTAATATCAAATTCTGGTCATGTGTACTAATTAATATTGGAATATTCTTAAATCACTTGATATATTGCTTGAAAAGAGAGTTGAGTGATTGTTTGTAATAAGGAATGCATCTACCATCTATTTGAAAACTTATAAAATAATTTCTTTTGAATTAAATAAATATAAATTAGATACCAAACATTGAGTTGTTACTTTCAAACAGGGTTACCTTGTTATCTTCAAAAAGTTAGTTGAATAAGGGTTAGCTTGTTATTTTCAAAAAGTTTATAGCTAACCAAGTTATTTCTTTTTTTTTTTTTTAATTGGAATTAAAGTTGCCACGTAGGATTGTAAAATCCACATAATTTGAAACCCACTTGATGGAAGATTAACTGTAATTCGCCATAACCACACGGTAAAGTACTTAAAATCATCCAAAATTCACCAACTTGAAAAAGTCACGAACAAGACACCTAAATATGATTATTCGAGTTTACAAGCTTCTGAAAGTGCACTCAACATCATAATATCTATTGTTTGTGTCGAGCTTTTAGCCAGGCGGCCAGTTCATTTGACGTCCCCCGAGCAGATGAACATGCAGATGGTACACAGATTGGCCTGCAGACACAGTTTTGATGTCAAAGATTCGACTAAAAATAAGATGAAAAGAAAGTTTAAGTGCGTAAAATAAAATGGCGAAAATGGTGTTCACATCCATTAGGCCCGTCATTAATCACAAGCCTGAAGCCATCATCGAGCCCTTCTTGTTTCGCAACTAGCTTTGCCGTGTAAAGTAGATGGCCAAGAATTTCACAGTGCTTTTCTTCAGCCTATGTAAAAATCATAAAGCATTTACAATAATAATAATAATAATAATAATAATAATAATAATAATAATAATAATAATAATAATAATAAAATAATAATAATAATAATAATGATGATGATGATGATGATGATGATGATGATGATGATGATGGCCCATAATAATCAGAGAATGTTGATTGCAGATAAAATCTGGTGAGGAAATCCGAAAATTTTATTTTTCCAGTGTACACCCAAAAACTACTCTGAAGAAATCTCGTAAGATAAGAAAGCACAAAATATAGGAAAAGGAACGCAAATGTGATACGCAGCTCAGATCAAAACAAACAAAAAAATAGCAATCCCAGATTTCATGATGCCATCTGTATCCATATAAAAACACTGAAAATGACAAAAGCTCTAAAAAAACACAGCACAATCCATGAAATCAAGACTGTGTTTGGTAAGCATATAAGCTAGCTTATTTGATTAGCTTATAAGTTTTCTGTATTCAAATAAGCTTGGTTTGGTAAGACGAGCTTTTATAAAAAGCTCGAGTTTATCTCATAAGCTTCCTTGGGTAGCTTTTCTAATAAGCCAATTGAAATTTTTATCTCAGCTAGCTTATCAACTAATTTTATTAAACACTTTTATCATATAAGCTAATTTTTCAGCCATAAGTCATAAGCTATTAGCTATAAGCCTATAAGCTCAATAGTCACTTAAAAGCTATAAGCTAGCTAATCAGCTAAGTTTACCAGACATAGTCCAAGACGAACAAAATTCCGTTTTTAAAAGATGAAACAACAGTAAAATCTGTTACCATATAATGTCAATCCCGTGCTGGACATGATCATGGAGACACAAATGCGCAACAAAAGCAGAAAGAAAGTACCTTTGAAATCCCAGTTAAACCGTCTTTTACTTTAGGAATAAGCACTATGTGTGTAGGTGCCTGTGGAGCTATGTCCCTGAAAGCTAGAACCTGCCCATGGCCAAAAAAAAAGGGAGAAAAGTTTGAGGAATTTCTCCTAACATTTTACATTTTGGTCACATAAATCATTGGCAGCTACCACTGACTCAATCAAAGAAAGAAAGAACAATGATAATCAGTTAAGAGAAATTGTTCAAGATCTCTAGACAAGTAGCATTTCTGAATATGGGCCACCATGATATATGAAAAAATGAACACTTTTTTTTTTCCCATTTTCTCAAATACCAACCAAGAAATTAGGGTTTGACTTCAACATTACCAAATTACTTCCACAACACAAGCCAATACCAATTACAACACCATCACCTCCAACATTATCAAGAAATCAAAAGGAAATATCACAATGCCCCCCAACAAAAGGAGACAAACAGCCCAAAAAATAAAAAGGAAGGCCGAATGAACACCAGACATACCTTGTCATCCTCGAACACGATGTTAGCCGGTATTTGCTTGTTGATAATCTTGTCAAATCTGCAGAATTGAAAGTTTTGTGGATACAGATGAGTTAAACGTAAAAACAATCAGAAAAAAAAAATAAAAAAAAAAAAACGCAAAGAGAGTGAGAGGGTCGGAAGAGGACATGGTCGGAGAATCAGAAGGAGCGGCCGCGAGAGCAGCCTCTTTCTCGGAAGCCATGGCCGCTGGAGAAGGTTTTATTAGTGTTAGCAAATGAGAAGTGAGAAATGCTGCGAGACTTTCCCCTTTGCTCTTTACCCACCTTCATTTATGTATTCCTTTACCCCTTATTTCTACTAAAATAATACATTTTACCCCTTATTTCATTCTTTTTAATTTTATCTTTTTGCCCCCTCATATCTACTTAAATAGTAAACCTACTATTAATTCTCATCTCATGTCAAATCTTCATATGATTAGGGTTGTTATTCTAGACGAGTCGAGCACTTCGTTTTCGGGCTTACATTCATTAAATAAACGAGAAAAAAGCTCAGCTCGACTCGTATAACAAAAATAAAATTCTAAATGAACTATCCGCAAACACAATTTGTGCGTTAACAAACATTCTCGATTTTGTTATTTATTCAAAACTTATGAAAAAAACTTAAAAATTAAAAGTTGTTCGCGAACGGTATCGATTCCAATTCGTCGTGTTAGCAAACGAACAAACTGAGTTCAAACTGTCAAGAACCAAACTGAAATGTGCTCAAAAACAACTTGGTTCGAACAACAGCTCTATATATGACCACCGGCTCAAAACGCATCTAAAATTTTATGTTGAAGGACCAAACTTACAAACAATAAACAATAAATGAACAAGAAAAAAGCTCACACTAAATCAGCATTACTAGTAGCCTCCATAAAATTTTCAGGTTTGTTACAACTATATAGATANTTTTCCAACTTGCTAGAGAAGTTCAGAAAGGGCAAACTTGAAGAGTTCAAAGTTCGAACACGTGATCGATTCTTTCATCTTCTCAACTTAGAGCGGTATAACAAGTACAGTAAAAGTCGAACAAAATCAAGAAAAGGGAATCTACGAAAGATTCTCTTGTTACATAGGGGCCGAGCTCGTTCTACGCAATCCATACTTTGGCTCGGGTTGTGGTATACTAGGCAACATTTTCTCCAATTCCTGAAATATCAAAAATGAAAAAACACAATGGAGAATGAGTTCGGTGAAATTTAGAAAAGAAAAAAATACGCGCTGTTGAATTTCTTTCTGTAATTAATTGTACAAGCACTAATTCACTAATCAAAATCATCCCATTCATTCTATATTCCACCTTAATGTTCAATAACATCAGCCGAAAAATATAAAAATGGTGTCGAAGGATTAGTTCATGGCATTCGATGGAATATAAATTTGAGCTCAACTCTTATTTGTGTACGTGGGATGTTTGAATACAGAAATTAAAGACAATACAATGCAATGCCAAACAAAAAAAAAGTTAAGTAAATGAAAAAAAAAAAAATCCCAAATTCACATAACAAATCAATAACCTTTTGTTTCTTGAGCCTCTCATTCTCCTCCTCCAGACGCGTAACCTTGTTTTCCAGCTCATGCGTGTAAGCCTACAAAAAGTACAAAACCCAAAAAAAACCGAACATTATCACACATTGCATTATTGAAAAATCAGGACAAGAAATCAAAAGGTGAATTAAGAAACAAAAAAGTAATAATCACCTGCTTCCTGGCTCTCGATCTAGCGGCAGATTCTCGATTCTTAATCATCCTCTTCTTCCTCCTCTCGACACTCTTCTCAGCAATATCATCCGGAGCCACTCGTTTCCTGCCAGGTGTCTGAGTATCAGACAAAGCACCCCCCATCAAAGGCGATGATGATGACATCATCATTTGACTTTCCGAGTAGCTTTGACCGTCCACAATATGATTATGTCCCGGCACAAAAACCGCCGCCTGATAGTTCATCATCCATTGAGCCTGCTGCTGCTGAGTCATCAGGCTCGGATTCCTTCTCGACTGAGACACCACGCCAGCTTTCACAAGAAAATCCTCCAATGTCATCTCGCCAAGTGTCGCCTTCCGGTCGAGCAAATTACTCTCTTGCCCCTGCTGCTGCTCCTGGATGTCCTGCCACACCTCATCCACCGTTTTCTTGCTCAGATCGATTGGAAGAGTGAGATTCGGGTCCGGGTCCGGGCCCGGGTTTGGGCTTGGGTTTGGGCCGGGCCCAATTACTTGGTTACTGGCCTCAACTGTCCACACGGTTTTCAGAAGCTCGTCAAGGTTCATTGTGGCAAGAGGCTTACCAAGATCACCTAGCTGGTTTTGCACCTCATCGAAAGTAAGCCCGTATAAGGATCCTTGTCGGGCTAGCGGGTTGGATAACGGGTCGTGGGCTTGGGTTTGGGTTTGGGCTTGGGTTTGGATTTGGATCACATCATTGCTATCACTACCACATTGAGATCCCATTCTAATTATTGTTACCTTTTCTTCTATGAAATGAATCCCAAATAAATAAATTCTCAAAAAAAAAAACGACTTTCCTAAACAAGAAATCGATTTAAACAGGGCCTTAAATTTAGTTACAGCAAACAAAATCCGAAATCCCAGAAGCTTTTGCATGTAATTGCACCTTTCGATTCTACAAATGAAACAGGAAAATATAACCAAAACAATACCGACAAATAAGTTCTCGAAGAAAAACGACTTCCCAACCAAGAAATCGATCCAAACAGGGCCCTAAATTAGTTACAGCAAACAAAATCCTAAAGCCCAGAAGCTTTTGCATGAAATTGATTTTACAAATGAAACAAGAAAATATGACCAAAAGCATACCAACAAATTCAGGAACGCATGAAAAGATGGAAATGTAATAAAGATTGCATTTTTATGGGCACTCAAACAGAACCCAGATCAGATCAGAGCAAAATACATGGAAAATTAAGAAATTAAAGTGAAAAATTAACAGAAAAACAGACTTACCAGGTGAAATAGGACAAGCCCAGATAGAAAGATGATATTTTTAGTGAGATTTGAGCACCCATGCAGCCATTGGTGCTTGAACACCCTTGAGAACTTGAAAGAGAAAATAAAAAACCCAAAACCCAGGCTGCAAAGTCTCTCAGCTCACAATAAAACCCATTAAAAATCTGGTGCNTAAGCTAGAAGACAAACTTTATTCATATGTGAATATAATTATATTTTCAAAATTAATTATTTTACAATAAAAGATGACATGGATTTTGACATAATATACATCGTATCACAATTGTTATTTTATATATCACTTATAGAATCAACAATCAATGTATATACGCATTAGTTTTTATCACTTGTTATGTTAAATAAAGTAGTTATATTCTTATGTCGCAGTGTATTTTACATTAGAAAATTGCAAATTTGGGCTGTGAATTTGGTTGTAATAATAGAATATAGGTTTTGAAAAACTAAAAACATAATTCTTGAAATGGTTCCTTTTGGCAAGTTTTTTCGTTACGGGTACTTGCGCCTGCGTAGTATTCGAAAATATGAATTTTTTTTATTGTTACTGTGCACCTATTCTATTGCTTTCCGTTTTGGTTTGGAGACTCGCAGAGTTGTTTGGTTAAAAGAAGGCAAAATTGGGAAAAAAAAGGGAAATTTTTTAGAAAGACACGTGGAAATTTAGGGTCCAATATTAAGGTAATATTTAAGTCCATGTGATCCAGTGATAGTACTTCATTTATGTTTCATAATTTTTTTTACCAGTGCAGCTGCAATCTATTAAAGTTATTTGCATAGTAGAAGACTAGTTGTTGGAAGACTAACAGTCAGGCAATAGTCATTTGTAACAAATATGCATATTTTTAAAATTTAAATGTCATACTCTAAAAAACAATATAAATAAAGTTATGATATTTTACCGTACAAATAAAAATTTCATTAGAATATTGTATGATGAATCGATTCATCTAATTGTTAGATTGCATTGGGAATAATTATAAAATTGAAAAAACATAGAAGTTCTAAAACACCCTTAGTTTTGTTGTGAGTTGAGTGAAGAAATACTTCAATTGAATAGTTTAACTATGGTCTTTATAATTTATAATAGATACTTTAATTGATTAGATTCATATAGGTATAGTTGATGCAAAGCTAACAGTTCATAGGTAATCGAATATAATAACTTGTAATGGATAATTGTTATGAAACCAATGTATGGTTGTTTGACAAATCTAAAACTATAAACTGAGTTATTTACGAACATGATTCGTGCGTTTGCGAACATGCCCTGCTAATTTATCTGAAACTTATAAAAAAATAATGCGACTTTTACATAATAGTAAGAAACAAAAGAAATAATAATGATAAATAAATTTCACAGAGAAATGACATGAAATAAAATATTCTCCAACAGCTGCATAAAACCTTGTTATAGCAATGCTATTTAGAAAATAAATTAAAAATAAAAATTTTCGATTTAAATTTTAATAACCATAGTCTCCAAAAAGACTCAATTAGCGACACAAAACACACACACACACACACACACTGTGTGGCAACGAAAAAAACTCTGCATTAGAACATAAAGGAAACCATTCAATTTAATTCAAGATAAGCTGAAAGTATGCAAATCAAATAGAATTCAACACAGCATCCAATAGTCTGAAAACAAAATTTAGGATAGTATAGTTTATCCATCACAAAACAACCAAACAGAACATAACTCAATCAAGCTTCCGTTTCCTCTGTTATTTGGACAACCTTAGCTGTGGGCATTGCCAACAGATCAGTGTACTCCTGGAATGGGGATTTTGTGAATCGAGTCTCTTTCCAGAAGTCCGGAGTTAAAAAGCCATAGGTCTTCAACAAGCAATCAAAAGTTGCCTACAAATAAAAAAAGGTCGGATTAATAACTGGTAGATAAATTTGTTCATGCGATGACTTGTAATGCAAACAAAATCAGCCACAGTTCATCAATTGTTTGTACAATTTTCGAATATCAATCAACCACACAGGAAGAATTCAGAGTCATAGTCAACTTATATTCCCCCATAAGCTCTCATTGAAGCTAATCATAGAGACCGAAAGAGATTAAAAATTCAAGGATTTCTAGCTCTTATATAAGATAGTCAGAGTAGCTATTGACCATTTTACGCAAACATACCATTTATTACAGTCCAGCAAGAATCAAATCAACAAAACCTAGAAAGCCATTACACAATAGGAATTCATACATGAGAACAGCAACAGGCAGATTTGCAATGAATAGAAGTCATGAATTCACAATTCAATTCAGACAAATACAACTAGAATACACATGATATAACATCATATATCACATAGCATTCAGATTAATAAATAGCATTTCACCTGCTTTCTTTGGGTAAACTAAATTATCATCTGATAGAAAACTTCCACAATGATTACTCAAGGGTAGAGCTGTTAAACGTCATCAAAAGTCAATAGAACTAATGCAGTGAAACAATAAGCAACATCAGTTACAACAAGATAAAAACACTAGTGTTAAAGAAGTTATCAATAGTTAAATTATTCAAACATAAAATAAACAAACTCAAGGCAAAAGGAAAAAAGAATAAAATCAGACCTTGACAAAATTTCCCAACGTCTTGGTGGATCCACGGGAGGAGGTGAAAACATCCTCAATACCAGCAAACTGGAGCACCTTCTTCGGCACGCGGGCCGCCACAATACCGGACCCACGTGGAGCAGGGACCATCCTCACGGTGACAGACCCACATTTCCCGGTGACCTTACACGGCACGGTGTGGGGCTTCCCGATCTTGTTCCCCCAGTAACCCCTCCTCACCGGAATCACAGACAGCTTGGCCAGTATGATGGCGCCACGGATGGCGGTGGCCACCTCCTTGGAGCACTTGACCCCGAGGCCGACGTGGCCGTTGCCGTCGCCGACCACCACGAAGGCCTTGAATCGGGTCCTCTGTCCGGCCCGGGTCTGCTTCTGGACCGGCATAATCTTCATCACCTCGTCCTTGAGGGAGGGTCCCACCAGTGTGTCTATGATCTGGTACTCCTTGATCGGGAGCGAGTGGAGGTAGATCTGCTCAAGGGACTTGATCTTACCAGCCTGGACCAGCCGACCGAGCTTGGTCACCGGCACCCACTTCTGCTCATCGTTGTCGCGGCGGGCGCGGCGAGGCCGCCCACGTCCTCCCCTATCCCCGCCGCGGCCACGGCCGCCGCCAAAACCGCCCCTAAACCCGCCCCTTTCTCCGCCTCTCTGAGTGTCCGACATTTTGCGGTGGCTCTGTTAGAATGTGATGTGAAGAGGAAATGAAGGCGGCGAATGAATGAAAGGTTTATCTGAGAGCTCGAAACCTAGGAGATGGAGGGGCTGGTTTAAATAGTCTGGAGATGAGTAGTGGGCTTAGGGCTTTAGGAACCAGGCCCATGTATCTCGACAATTGGCCCATTTTAAGTAGGGTTTACCTTCACTTGTTTGTTGACAATATTTTTTTTTTCTATTATCAAATTTGTATAATTAACCTCGTTTTTTATTATTTATTTTTTTGTTCCATCTAGAATAGATTGTATTAAATAATTTGGAATACTACATCAGCGGACGAGTTTCATCATACTTGTGTGCATTAACTCCATATCGATTTTAGCCGTAGATCGACACACATCTAATTTCATCATACTCGTGTGTAGTTAGCAGTGTTTTAAAACGCGTATAGCGTAATGCGTCGCGTTTTGATCTTTATATTGCGTAGCGTAAATAGCGTAGCGTATAGCGTGGATAATTCGAGCAAATCATATTTAAATAATAAATAATAAATATATATTTATTAAACAAATATATAATAAAATAAATTAGCTTAAATACTCCTCAATCACAAAATTATAATATTAGTATAAGAAGTTAGCAATTCAATTAATTAAGTATGTGTATTCAACACTTTTTTAATAGAAATTATAATGTTAATATAAGAAGTTACATTAAGCAATTCAATAAATTAGTTTAAATAGNCAAAAAATCTTGAAGTAATATCGCAGAGTCTCGGTAACTCTCTTCTTCCAAAATTTGCAGAGCCTCGATGTGGTCAATCTTGATGGTGGACTCCTCCGACTTGAAATCCATGTGGCGATGTGCTCTTCCTCATTTTTGCTTAAGCTGCGGTGGAAGCAGTGAGATGATGAAGAGATGAAATGATGATTTCATGAGTCAACCCTGAAAGCTTCTTCGATTTTGTTTTTTTTTTTTTTTTTCTGATAGCGTGAGAAATATACGCTATTGCGTAAAAAGCGTGAGATATTGCTAGAAAAGCGTGCCACGTCATTATTCGCGTACGCGTTTTAGGAATTACACGAATTTTAATGCGCTACAGCGTGTTTTGTAGTTCAACAGCGCTATTACGCGCTATATAGCGCGCGAAAATGCGCGTTTTAAAACATTGGTAGTTAGCCATTGGATCAACAGAAGTATTGATTTTAGTCGTCGGATCAACACGTACCTAAATTTCATCTTATTCGTGTGTAGTTCGGATCAACAAAAGCATATGTGTAAACTTTCCGATCTCATATGAGTTATAGTCGTCCGATTAACAACAACTGTGTGAATTTCATCTTACCACGAGTAGGCCTATAAACGAGCCGAGCCGATCTCGAGCACCCTAAGCTCGAGCTTGGCTCGTTTATCACTATTAACTAGCCGAGTTTGAACTTTAACGAGTCAGACAATTGAAAATTATATAAAATTTCTCTTTTCGAGTCTTATCGAGCTCGAGTCATTAACCAAACGAGCTTTAAATAAGCTCGAACTCAACTCATTAACCAAACGAGCTTTAAATAAGCTCGAACTCAACTCATTAAGGCCTCGAGCTCAAGCCGAGCCAAGATAAGCTCGTTTAATTTATCTATATATATATAAAAAGGTTATTGGTTAAATCCTTTTTGGAAACTTTTGACCAAATAAATAATACCTTTGACATTTTATTTATAGAAAGCTTGAAAACAATAATGGTGTAATTTTTTTTTTTTTTTTAATTTGAATTCAAAATTAATGGTGTAGAGATAATATTAGAACAATAATCTGTGGATAACTCATGATGGAATATGTGGATAACTAACTACTAATCTAAAAAGATTTTGATAAATCTTCACCAAACACTTATTTGATAAATTTGTAGATAACTAAACTATTAATCTAAAAAGATTTTGAAATGACTAAGCTTATGTATTAATATCGCAACCCAAGGGAAAAAAAAGCATAAGTGAGCCCATTTATTTTTTTATATTAAAATAAAGAGATATTACCAAATATAATTTTTGTTTAATTTGATGGATGATATCAAATCATTCCAAATCTTAATAATGTACGCAAATATCATTTCAAATATCTATAGTAATATAAAGAGGTTGAAAAAATACAAAAATAGTAACTTTGACTTAAAAAATTAATCGTTGACTTACTAATATAAGCAATATCAATGGGCCCCACATGTCAACCACTTTAATCGGATCTTGGTAACAAATTTGATCGGATTTTGATAACAAATCTCGGATTTTGGTAACAAATTTGATCTTATTTTGATGAAAAATCTCGGATTTTGTTAACAAATTTGATCTGATTGTGATAACAAATCTCATATTGTAATAACAAATCTTTTAAGATATCGGTTTCTTTTGGTAACACACTTCATAGTTATTTACACATAATATATTGCCGATAATTTTTGGGATTTCTTTTGGTAACAAATTTCTTAATTTTTTTGATTGTTTTGAGTTAAATATTGCAGAAAAAAATCTCGAGATTTTTTTAAATGATACATATCAAAATAAAAATATTATTTTTCAATCAATCCAAAAAGCCTTACCAAATTAAATTGTGACAAACTCCATTAATTTTGGTAAACATTATGTCACATTGATATGACACATAATTAAAATTAAAATTTAATTGTTGACTTACTAATATAAGCAATATCAATGTGTCCTGCATGTCAACAAATTTAATCGGATTTTGGTAACAAACTTGATCGTATTTTGATAACAAATCTCGAATTTTGGTAACAAATTTGATCTTATTGTGATAACAAATCTCAAATTTTGATAATAAATCTTTTAAAATATCGATTATTTTGGTAACACACTTCATAGTTATTTATATACAATATATTGCCGATAATATTTGGGATTTCTTTTCGTAAAAAATTTCACAATTTTTTCAGATTGTTTGGAGTTAAATATTGTAGAAAAATACTCGATATTTGATAAATGATACATATCTAAACAAAAATATTATTTTTCAAATCTCGAGATTTGATAACAAATTTGATCTTATTTTGATAACAAGTCTCGGATTTTGTTAACAAATTTGATTTGAATGTGATAACAAATCTCGGATTGTGATAACAAATCTCGAATTTTGATAACAAATCTTTTCAAATATCGGTTTTTTGGTAACACACTTCATAGTTATTTACACAGAATATATTGCCGGTAAGCTTTGGGATTTCTTTTGGTAACAAATTTCACATTTTTTTCGGATTGTTTGGAATTATATATTGCAGAACAAATCTCGAGATTTCATAAATGATACATATCAAAATAAAAATATTATTTTTCAATCAATCCAAAAAGCCTTACCAAATTAAATTGTAACAAATTTCATTATTTTTAGTAAACATTATGTCATATTGATATGTCACATAATCTTCAAATTAAAAAACTAATTGTTGACTTACTAATATAAGATATATCAATGGGCCCCACATGTCAACCAATTTTATCGGATTTTGGTAACAAATTTGATCGGATATTGATTACAAATCTCGAATTTTGGTAACAAATTTGATCTTATTTTGATAACAAATCTCGGATTTTGTTAACAAATTTGATCTGATTGTTATAACAAATCTCGGATTGTAATAATAAATCTCAAATTTTGATAACAACTCTTTTAAAATATCGGTTTTTTTGGTAACACATTTCATAGTTATTTACACAGAATATATTGCCGATAAGCTTTGGGATTTCTTTTGGTAACAAATTTCACAATTTTTTCGGATTGTTTGGAGTTAAATATTGCAAAAAAAATCTCGATATTTGATAAATGATACATATTAAACTAAAAATATTATTTCTCAATCAATCAAAAAACCCTTACCAAATTAAATTGTAACAAACTCTATCAATTTTGGTAAACATTATGTCACATTGATATGGCACATAATTTTCAATAATCGACAAAATCCGAGACACATGTAACACGTTGCACATTTTTTGTTTTTGTTTTTGTTTAAATAAAAACGAAAAGACATATTTTTTGAAGTCTATCGTAATCACATTTGTTATGAAAATAAATCCTACTCAAATTTAAAAACCTAAGGTAAATGAATTTTGAATTTATATTTTATACCAATATTGTATTGATTTATATAATTTACACTATCCAAACTATTAATGGTTGTTACAAATATATATCTGAAAAACAAGTAAGTACTGGGATAAGGGTTTGAATAATAGGATTGATAAACATGATCTTATTTTTTAAGCTTATCCGATCTTTTTTAACTTGATATTTTGTAACTATATTTCCTTTATGGGTATGTGTAATGGGACACGATTGGTTGTGACAAAACTCTCCACTCACGTTCTCAAGTGTAAGATACTCACTGACGATCACGCAGGTGATAAAGTGTTGATTCCAAGAATGATTATATTTCCTTCTGATGTAAGAATTTCTTTCAAGTTCCAGCGTCGGCAGTTTTCCATTATGGTTTCTTACGCCATGACTATAAATAAGAGTCAGGGACAATTATTTGCATATGGGCTTTTTTCTTAAGAAACAAGTATTTTGTCATGGCCAGTTGTATGTTGTTGTCTCCCATGTCACAAACATAAATGGTTTGAAAATCCTAATTTGTGACGACGATGACGTGTCAAAGAATCAAACCATGAACGTTGTATATAAAGAATTGTTTAATAATATATAGATTTTATTTTCATTATATTTATTAATTATTAATGACATGATCTTTCATTTAGTAAGTACTTTGAATTTTAATTAAAAATTGCTTTTTAAGAGGGACGGAGATAATAAACCCCCGTGCATCGCACGGGTACTGTAATAGTTAGCACTAAAGCAATGATTCTTTATTGGTTATAGCCCACGGATCAACACACACCCATGTACGTGAGTTTGTTGAAAATGGGGTAGTGTGTTCAAAATGGGGTAGGAACCGTAGGATCAACTCTTCAAAGAGAGGGAGAAAGAACATATAATTGTTTTTCATTTTAAGTGAAGTGATACGAGTACTACTTAAATAAAGCTTCTTGTCTTGCAATATATGTTTACACAAGTTCCTCGGTATCACAATTGTTATTTATTTATTTCTTTTTCTCTTTTGTGTGTGTGTGTGTGTGTGTGTGTGTGTGTGTGTGTGTGTGTGTTTGTTTGAACTTGAAAAGATATAATATTAGTCAAAATTGAGCTTGGGTGAGAGAATATTTAGTAGTTTAAAGTAACTGATCCATAGCCAGAATTAAGGAAGAAAAACAATGAAGAACCAACCCACACACACACCAAACGGTGAGGAAATTAAAATTAAAAATAATAAGAATATTATGCAAATCATTTTCCCTGGTACAAGTTGAGACCAAAACCAAACATGAGTATCTAATCTGCCCAGAAGAAATTCAGTCAACCCAAACAACACTTTGACAATCATGTTTGAGTTATGACATAAACCTGTCACACAGAGAGAATGGTGTTAAAATCTTCAAAAGTTTTAAAGAACAAGGTAAGGATGGCACAAAAATAATACAAGATCTGTATTATATTTCAAGTTGCTTCAGTTTTGACATGTAATAAAATCTTATAAGCTGAAACATCTCTTTTTTTTTTTCTTTCTTTTCTACTAAACATTGAACCAAAAACCTTATACGGTTACAAAAAACAATTGCATTACATCGATAACCAATAATCTTTTATTTAAAACATGCCCAAGAACAGAACTTCAATTCAGACGGTATTTTGTATGCAATAATTGGCAGTATTGAAATAACAAATACATGTGAGATTCTTTCAATTAACGATGACTATAATACGTGGCTCTTGTGACATCCTGAGTGAACCAGTTTGTGGAAGCAGTACTCATCTAAACCACCTTCCACACAAAATGTAAGTTGGTACAAAACTACCAATATTTTACGAATTAGAGCATGACTATATTTAGCATATTAGACTCTTCTTAGATCCTGAGTTAACTTGTTTGAGATATCAGTACCAATCTTAACCACTTTTTTTCACTAAAAAAAAAAAAAAAAAAAAAAAAAGTTGGTACCAATACTTCATGTATTAGAGCAAAAGACTATTTTGCATATATGGAGAAGAAAGAACGACTGATCGACCAACAGTCACACAGAGACATATTAAAACATATATACATACACATTGTTTCTTTGAGTTTTTGTACTTTTTATGGTCCATTTTTCGGGATAAATGTGTTCCGTGCTTCACTAGTGTTGCTCAATTGTACTTCCTCCACTACTTCATACATAACAGCTCCAATATTATCTCAATTGAATAACCATACAACTTTTGTCACACCTACAGCTTAATAATCAAATAATCGATACCGACTGCCATAAAATCTGGTCCAAATTTTCGACGTTTCGACAAAACCCCCCACAATAATGTGTTTGCACGCAAACCCAACAATTTAAAAAGAACAAAAAAAAGCAATTTATGCAAAACACATAACACATCAGAAAATACACATAACCCTCCAAACAATCCAGACAAATAAACCAACAACCCAAGCACAAACACAACATCAAACACAATCTTCAGAGAAAAACCTTACCTAACGGCGAAAATAGGTAGGGAAATTTTTTTGCACCGACCCACCACTTGCAGGAGCCCGTGATGTTGTTGTTGTGGTCCCCACAGTGCCAACCGAAGACTGCCCAGCTTCAGCATTCTGAAAGGCTCCCAACCCATGCAGAGCTGCCTGTGACCCATAATTCCCAATCACGCTATAATTACCGCCCATTCCAGCAACTTGCGTGTTCAATCCCGAGGCTGCTGCTAGGCTCGCCGGATTATAACCTGCCGCTGCTAGGCTCGCCGGACTATAGCCTGCCGCTGCTAGGCTCGCCGGATTATAACCTGCCGCTAGCATCTGGCTACCGGCTAACCCAAGCCCTGCACTTGGTGCCATCATAAACCCGCCTGCATTCAGATTACCACCCAAAACCCCAGCATTATTAGCGGTTAAACTACTATAGCTAGCATCGGCAATGGGCTGGCTAGCAGTAGAAGCCCCACTTTGACTTGCCACATTGTTGTTGTTCTTGTTTAGATTTTCGACAAACTTCTTGCAATGCAGCTGGCAATTCTCGAGCACTTTAATCGGCTCCTCCAGCGCTTTCTTAAACCCTTCGGGCGTTTTATAGGTGATGATAGCAAACCCTTTGAATTTATTTGTTGCAGGGTCCATCCCTAGTGGACCTTCCTCGATCTCGCCAAACCTCTCGAAAAAGGTTCTGAGCTTCTCAACACTAACTTGAGGTCCGACATTTCCAACATACATCTTTCTGCCGCTGGCACCACCTTCGGCAGCTGTGGCCGCACCAGCTGGTGGGCCGAGGGCTGCCAGCTGGCACGAGACCATCCGGCTCCCAATCTTCTTCTGGGGAGCTTTGAGAGACTTTCGGGCAGCGGCACGCGTCTTGAACAGCACAAATGCGTAGCCTTTGGCTCGGCCCGTGTTTTTGTCGGTGACCAATTTGCTGTCCTCGATCTCGCCAAACGGCCTGAAGGCCTGCAGGAGTTGTTCGGACGTGGCGTCCCAGCCGAGGCCGTGAATGAATATTTTGCGGTGGGTGGGGTCAGAATCGGCCACCTGGACGATCTTGGGCATGATTTTCGGGTCGCTGGCGGCGGCTTTCTTTAGGAGGTCAATGATTTGGGATTTAGAGAAGGGACCCAGAAGGTCGCGCAGGGCTTCACGTTTCGATGCGTCGTCGTTTGGCTCTTCATCGGATTCCTCCTCCTCCTCCTCCTCTTCATCTTCTTCTTCTTCGCCTTCGGATTCTGATTCTGATTCTTCTTCATCTTCTTCTTCTTCTTCGACTTCTTCTTCTACCTCTTCTTCTTCTTCTTCTTCTTCATCGGAAGTTTCTTCTTCTTCTTCAACTTCCTCGACAGCTTCTTCACGGACGGTTTTGAGCTTCTGATCGAGCGTCTGTTGGGAAGAAGGTGCTTTCCGTTTGTTGGATTTCGAAGCCATTATCGAAGCTACGGCGATAATCGACCTTTCACACCGGTGAGTTCAGAATTAGGGTTTAGGGTATCAGTTCACTGGTTCTGCAGCAAAAAACCCCGATTTAACAAACCGCCAGAAACGATGACGTTTGGGGCTTCACCTCTTTTACTTCACAGTCTCGGTGGTTGGGTTATTGGGCTTGGGCTAAGATCAGGCCGACTTGGGCCCATGTAGTAGTGCAACGCACGGTCGATGCTTGGAAGGCCCACGTAGCAAGCTACCTATTCGGCCTTCCTCCTATAGAATCAGGCATTCATTTGTATATTCTTGCGTAGGTAATTGAGTTATTGGGCTTGGGCTGACTTCGAAATTAGGTTAGCCTACTGTGATTTCCATCAAATCTTTGATGGTCATGCATAGATATCTTCTGATACTCGAACTCAGAAGTCGGGCTCAACACTATATTGATCCGAATCGATAAATGAGTTTGAGTTTAATTAGTTTATCAATATTAATAAATTAGGTGTTATTTTAAATGAGCTAAATTCAAGTTGAGCTAAAATAAAAGTTCATTAATTAAATTAAATTACTTTAACATTCATATATTTTAGTCTTAAGTAGAAGAGTAGAGCTCAAGAGCAGTTTTTTTATTAATAAAATAAATTTATCTATGAGGCCAAATAAATGATATTGGTTAGAAAAGCTGATATATATTATAAGTGTAAAATATTTATTTATTAATAAAATAAATTTATCTATGAAGCCAATTAATGATATTGGTTAGAAAAGCTACTTTATATTACAAATGAGAAATATCATTTTAAAAAAATATAATATTGCAATTATTTTAATAAGTATTTTAAAAAGGAAAAGGAAACTTCTATTTTATTTTTTAACAAATTTAAAGTATAAGTTTTTTTTTTAATTAACATTACACGTGTATAGATAATGCGCGAATAATTTATTTCTTTAAAGCGAGCATTGTTTGAAACTAAATTTATTTTAAAGAAACTCTTGTCCTGCCACATCTAGTTAGGGTTTTTTTTCCCATTAATAAAGTTTTATTCATAATAAAATCCAATTTCAAATTTGTACCAACTTAGGTTGCATTATTTGTCTTGTGAATTCATTATCTTGCTCAATCTTTTGGGAGCAAAACGTGACACTAACGTATAAATACAGTGACAATTATGGACTAAAAAATTTCTATGTTGAAAGTTGCAAAAAGACTTGCATGATTTATACATATTTCAAACGAATATTAAATTAGTTTTAGAGGAATATACAATCTAAATCGAGGTGGATGTTATTTTTGACATTAAGTGATCAAAAACATGCTTTGATTTGATTAATCATATATATATTAATCATATAAAATCTAAATTAGTTTTAGAGGAATATTCTTGCTTTTGCTTTGATTAATCATATATATTTGTCTTTTTTATACGTTAATTAATTAGCTAATTTCTTATAATAAAACATGCTTTTAAGCTTCATTCTTATAGATTTTATAGATATGTATGGTTTCGCCAAAAAATGCATTTCTATATCTACAGTGAATAAGTTTTGATGATTAATTTACTGTATTTGACGAATTTAACACAGCTGTGTTGAAAATGTAAAACTCACATGTATTGCCTAAAACTAGAAAGGGTGTAGTTTTAGGGTTGATCGAAATCGAAACGAATACTCAGATATTCAATTTAGATTTATGTAAAAGTATTGGATGATTGGAATTCATATTCAGTTTACTTGCAATAGAATTCAATTTATGATTCGTACTTGATTCATTTTAGATAATCGGACATTTCTATTCAATTTGAATTTTGTCTTAAAAAATTATTTATAAATACATATATAAATATATTCTATATAATATATTCATTTTAAATAATCTTTATTGAATGCAAAATATTATTCTTATTTGAATTTAAATTTAAATTTCATGAAAATGAATCATAAATCGGTCGAACAATTAGATCGACATATGATTTATACAAATATGCATATATTGTTAGAAAAATTCATGCGTTAAAAAATAACATGAACAAAAACATGCATTTTTATTAACATTTATAACGGATGTAACCGCTTTATTGTTAGATTGTTACACACAATAATTTATAATTTTAAATATATACATTCATAAACATTCATTTTACAAATTATTGCAAGCACGCATAAATAATTTAATGGCAATTGGCACACGCTTAGCCACAAGTACACAACTTTACTTTAAACTTTTGTGTTAGAAATAATATAATTTTTGAAAAATACATAGATTTGATATTAATTACAATAAGATTTTTTC